CCAGGGCTAGCCGCCTGGGGACTGTCTCAGCAGCGGGTGGTCCCGGGGTGGCTGGAGCAGATGCTGCTTGGCGGCCCCTGGCAGCTGGTGCTGCTGGCCCCAACCTCCCACAAGCAGCGCCCTCCCCTCCCAAAGATTTAGTCATGGATATTTTTTAGTAAAAGTCATGGACAGGTCACAGACCGTGAAATCTGTATATTGCCCGTGACCTGTCCATGACTTTTACTAAAAAAAATCCATGACTAAATCATAGCCTTACTCATGACTGACTGTGTTGAATGCACCAGAGTGGATTAATTTAAATTAAGGCATTTTAAATCACCAAGTGGAAAGCTTCATTTTAAATAATAGATTCTAATCAGCATTTCCATTTGTACTTGAGCTATTTTCTAAAGAAAGGTGCACTCTCATTGGCTGATTTAACCATTAAAACACGTTGATTTACAAATAAACAGTCTTTATACTAGATTTGGTACTTTTTGTTATCTAGGAGAGTACACTATAAATATTTATTTAAGCAATTATACACCTTAATATTTTTAGATGCTTGTTAACTATACATTTTCAATATGTTAGACAATGGTAAATGATTTTTTGCTTATTTACTAAATAGTTAACTTTTTGCTCATGATTTGTGTCACGCTCCATTAGGATGGTAACTGGAATTTAATTAAATACACAACAGTATAAATTTATTAAATAAAACATTAAATTAAATATTTTGGATACATTATCTTATTGAAACATGTTTGTCATTCACAAATAAATGACTTATTACAGAGGAATTAACTGTTAGTAAATTAAACTGATTTCAGGTCAGCCTGGGAAAATAGTCAAATATTCCTAAGTGACTAGAATTTAAGTTCCTACTCATCTAAACTTCTTGTAAATGAGACAGTCTACTAAATTACTTAGGCTGACCTTTTGCGCCATAAAGCTTGACCTCAAAATTCAGACATCTTTCCCCTGCTTCTTTCTTTATATAAAACAGCAGCCTTTAACTCAGTTTTTGATAGAGGCTCATGGATTCAGTGTATGTATTTATTTACATTTTTATTTAAATGTTTTGAGATTATAATTAGTACTTTAGGCCTTAACATACTTCATGTTTAAAACAAAATCTGAGTTTAACAAGTTTATTTTAAAAAGAAAAAATTTAAACAACAAAAACCAAGTTTTCAAAGAAGTATTGCTTTTTATCCACCTTGAAAGCTGCAGAGAGTTCCAAGAGAATCAGAATGTCTGTCTGCCCTTTCAGAGGAACAGCCGTGTTAGTCTGTATTCGCAAAAAGAAAAGGAGTACTTGTGGCACCTTAGAGACTAACCAATTTATTTGAGCATGAGCTTTCGTGAGCTACAGCTCACTTCATCAGATGCATACCGTGGAAACTGCAGCAGACTTTATATATACACAGAGAATATGAAACAATACCTCCTCCCACCCCACTGTCCTGCTGGTAATAGCTTATCTAAAGTGATCAACAGGTGGGCCATTTCCAGCACAAATCCAGGTTTTCTCACCCTCCACCCCCCCACACAAATTCACTCTCCTGCTAGTGCTAGCCCATCCAAAGTGACAACTCTTTACATAATCAAGTCGGGCTATTTCCATCAACGGCAAGAAATCATTCATTTGTGCCACTAGTTCGATTTCCATTCCATGCCCTGAACCCAATGTGCGTCAGGCTAGGATACTGGCTTCACTAAGGTGACATTGCTCAGAAATGGAAAGTTTGACACAAGGAAACAGTTAGGTCCAATGTACCCAGGGTGGGTTTCTACTTGTAGGTCAGTCTATTTTGTATTTCAAGATGAAAGGGAAGATCCTTCTTTGCATGAGGCAGTGGCTATTTTAGTCAGTAAAGGCCCTAGTGCTTTTAATGTTTACCACTTAGGAAGAGCTGGGACAAGATTTAACAGGTGTTGGGTTGAGGTTTATTCCTGTAATGTAAATGAAATCTCTCTGTGGCACTGGTCTGGACAGTGATCAACAGGGGTAGGACAGCTCATTATTTTTGGAGATGGAAAAAACTATATTTCCTATTTGGTGTCAGATTTTGCCGGATTAAGTTCTCTCTCTGACATTTATGTGTAAGTGATGTGGCAGAAAGATCTCCACCTGTTCTTGACTTTATGCTCCCAAGTAACTTTTATGATGGTTTAAGAGAACACACAATTTAAATAAAATGAAAAAAATTAACAAGCTTTCTTTTTCTTCTGTATTTTTGATAAATTATACCTAATATAAAAAGGGACTAAATAAAAAACACCCAAACCATGAGAATAACCAGACTATAACAAGCCTTGCTTTTCTAGATATCTCCTCTGAGAAAATCAGATAAGCTGTAATTTCCTTAACAAACATCTTGTCATTTGACAGAGGATGTTGATTCACTTTAAACAACACAACAGAGGCCACAAAGTAAGAAATCTCACCAATATGCCATCTGCAAGGTGACTTTTACTTGAATGATTTGAACATCACACTAGATTTCTCACAAGTTCATACAACAGGGCTATAAGTTAAAAGGTTTTTAAGAGTTTGTATCGAGGATAAAAAATAATTAGTAAATGTTACCATAGCCAAAAGAAAAAGTGAGACCTAGCCCTCTATCTATAAAGAAATGGGGCACAAAATGCACAGAAAGAAGCTTAGGAGAGAATGGGACAGGCGGACAAAAATAAGATGTCATTTAGAAAGTATGAAAAATGCAAGAGGGAAGAAAAAACAAAGGAAAAGCAGTGCTTAACTTTAGGCTGGAGATTGGTAGTTGAAACTAACTATTTCTTCAATCTAATTTTAATTAATGATGATAGTTAATGGGATTAGTAGCCAATGGGACTGAAAAGACTACACTAGTTACATATTGTTAGATCTACCATGGAAGTTTTATATACTACAAAATTGGTCACAATCTTTTCCAAGATTACCTATTTATATAAAGCTCAGATTACTATGAATCCCTGACATAATGACCCTCTGGAAACCAGGACACACTATACAGTAGGTACAAATTGGCAAAAGGAGAGTTTTTAAAAAGTGCAAGCCTAAATGTCATTAGACATACACAAAACAGTTGTCTACATGTCAGGAATATAGAGAGGCCAGCTGGCACCCCACAAGGCTTAAAATTATACTGGTACATTCATTCCTGCTGGTTTATAAAATTTTAAAACAGATGTATATCACAAGTTCGCTGTTTAAAGCAAACTCCACCAGCACACATGATTTACAAAGCTGCAGGTAATGTCTTCAAAATGGAAACATTTCAGGTATTATAAGAAGTAAGATATGAACTCCTGGTCTCCCCTCTCAGCATAGGGAGTTTTTCACAAGGATAACAGGGTATTTGATGAGGAAGTCTGTCTCTCTTGCTCCAAGAGAGGGAGGGGAGCGGATGACCAAAAATAGTTGTTTCTTCTTTTTGTGTTTATTTTTTTCCTCAAACTACCATGAAAAATTCCATTAATGCTCAAAGTTTATATTCTAATGTTCTGGTCTTTATCTTTTCAATCTGGTTTAAAACTCCAGTTCAAACTGAACTCTAACACAACCATAATGTACAGTCTCAGATTGTTTATAAATATTGTGATGAATTGAGGCTATATCTGTACAATTTAAGAATTTTGATTTGATATTGTAAAGTTGTATTATGAAAATCTACTGTCATGAGTGCCTACATACATGTGGGTCCAGCACTGCTGACAAGTCCTGTAACATGTATGAACCAGATACTATAAAAGGAGCTTGGGACTTAGTGTATATCTACACTGCAGCAGGGAGTACAGCCCTGAATGGGACTATTCTTTAATCTCACTCACTGCTCCTGCTATTTGGCAGCGGATCCTGTGGGGCTCTAGCTGGGAATATGCCTCCGATTCAGGGTAGACAGACTTGCACTAGCTCTGCTCTAGGTGTGGACATAGCAGCATGGGTACTGACTCAGGCTAGGACACCCCAGCTCAGACCCAGAGGGTCAGGTGGGTTTGGACTTAGGCAGCTAGCCTGAGCTGCTGCCCTTGCTACAATATCCACAATGCTATTTTTAGCATGCTAACTGGGAGAGCTAGTGAGAGAATGTCTGCCCGTTTTGGGATGCATGTCTCAGCTGCAGTGCAACCATAATGCAAGTGACCCTGTTCAGGTGAAATCTAGGACAGTGGATGTGCTGTATCCTTAGAAAAATCAGTTTAGTTGATTCCTCTGAAAAGAGAGTGGAAGATAGGAGCAGTGGAAACTTACCGGAAGTAGAACAAAGGAGGGCAGGTGACCAGAAAGGGTTTAAGATAAAGAAATGTACAGGAACAGGGGTCAGAAAGGAGACGGATGGGGCAGGAAAAGGTAAGGTCACTGAAGCTGGGAAGGGGCTTCATGAAGGAGAGGGACCAGCTAGCACACAACAGCTTGCATGAGCAGACAACACCCAGTCTGCCTGCCTTCCAGATGTTGCCCAAGGACTGACAAAGGAAGAGTGTGAGAGAGAACGTGAGGGATATTGCTATTTCAGATGTTTATTGTTTTGTATGATCTGTACTCATGTGCTCTAAATAATTGAAGTATAAAGGTGTTAAACTCTGGACAAAGTATCTGCCTGCACATTAACTGCTTCACAACAGCTGCATTCCCTAGACAGCATTAAACTGTGAACCAAAAGTGTCACACTTTTGGGGTGAAAATCTGGGAGAGGAGTATCTTGAAGTAACTGGGGTAGTTTGGAGACAGTGCTTGTCCTGAAGCCTGGGATAGGTGGGCTGAGGAGCCCTATTTCCAAGAAGTGGTAGCAGACAGTCAGTGCCAAGAAAATACACCAGAGAGACCAAGGAAAGAATCAGTGCTGCAGCCTGCTGAGGTTCTAGGAGCATGAAAACACTACAGGGATAAAGAGCAGCAGAGGCATGGATTCCTCTCTCAGCAGTTATAATGGGTAGTGGCACGGGAGCCTGCCCACTGGGGTATGATAGAACTATATTACAGAAATTTTTGTTGGTAGATTTCTTACCTCAAAAGTCCACCCTTCTTCCTTGTCTCCATCCAACAACATTTTTGTCTCCTTGTAAACATTTCCTACCTCCAGCTGCAATGGGGAGGCATTAAATTCAATCCTTTGCAGGTTAAAGCCTATTCCAATCCCAATGGCCTTTATAAAGCTTTCCTTTAGTGCCTGAAATTCAGAATGACATATGTTTATTTCACATTTGTTGCTTTTAATGGCTAAAATTGTTACCTGCAACAATTACATGTAGTGCATCACTCAATCTATACTGAAAGGTCATCTCTGACCACAAACTGTGGTCAAATAAATTCTATTCTTAGACAAGTGTAAGTTTGAGATTACTCCAGATTTACATTGGTATAATTACTAAGAGCAGAATCCATCCACAGGCAGTTTACTCATCTGTAGGAACAGTACAAATCTATGGTGCTGTAATGCATATGCATATATATAATACACACACACACACACACAAAATGACCTACAATTCTGAAATAATCAAGGGCTAGATTGTGTTCCCTGATGAATTAACTAGGAATCTCTCTACTATACTTTCATGTATGCGTAAGGCCAGCCACAGTTTTTCCTAAGAATTTCAGCTGCAGGACAGACCACCTTACACACCTACAGGTAGCCTGAGCCACCAAGGATGTAATCTAATGATAATTGTATAGGTGTGTGCAACTGATGAAGTTTTACATCATGACATTAATTACTGCTTTGATAAAGTGTGTTCTCTGAGAGATTATACTTTGTGTTCTTAAAAAAAGAAAAATATATTACCCAGTGCCTATAAAACATATCTAGTTGAATCCATTCGTTATTTATGGACTTGATTGCCCTCCACTCTGCCTCTGTAAACTGTCGTTTCATAATGCGAAAGAAATCTGGAATTGAACCACTCCCTGTAAAATCAGAAATATTTACAACAAATATTTTAATACAAAATATAGTTATAAGCAAATGAATTGTCTTATGCTACTGTTCCAAGAAATAACTGTCATAGTACAACATTCATTAGGAAAAAATATTTCTGAACTAAGCTTATTTGAAAATCTCAAAACTAAACAAGACTGTAAATGCAGCTGTAGTCAATACAAAGAAATGTAAATATAGCCAACATATTAAAAGTGTACAGATGTTGATGAAAGCCTACTATGACAAATTACACATTTTAAGGAAAGTAAAAGAACAAAAAAAGTCTTTCCTCAGCTAAAATGCTAACTTTAAAAGATGCGTATTTGAGGAATAAAGCCATAAAAAAAATCCCACACCTTCAGCAGTCTAAAATGACAGCATCTAATCATTTTGTTGACCCAGTCATTAGTTACTTGTGAAAATAGTCAACATAGGCACACAGCTTTCTATATTTGATTCCTTAATGTAATGTTAATAAATCAATATGCTACACAGTATTTCTATCTACCTACCACTGTACTAAAATGAGATGGTCTGAGTCACCTGAAGGGCAGGGATGCTGTACAGTAGCGGACCTGCAACTATACACTTATTTTTCACATGTGCATTCACCGGCACTCCGCGTATGATCTGCATGCATCTTCATTGTATGGTATAGCTCAGTAACCATACAATATGCAAATGCTGTACCCACACTGGCCTGAGACCCATTATTCCAAATTCTCGTTAAATATAAAAATTTAATTTTAAAAGTAGTTCCTTCTAATGGAACGAGAAAGGACAAGATGTGTGTTGGTGTGGTGGGATTCAGAAGTTGATATCGCCATGTCTGTCGCCGAATGAACAGGATGATTTACAGTAGCCAGAGCATAGTGAGCACGTTGCAGTATAACAGCAACTTGAAGGAGCATTCTGCTAACCTTGTATCAATTTTAACTTAGGTCTTCTGCACCAGCCTTTATTAAGTCCAGGATACAGTTATGTGAGCACAAACAAGAAGCCTCTTCAAGTTAACATTTAAATATGTTTAAATAGTCAAGCATGAGGGTGAAAATGTATTGTAGATTGCATTTACAAATGTATTTAAAATGATAAAAGTCTTCATTTAAAAATCAGTGCAGCCATAGATTTCAATAACAGTTCTCCCGTGGTTGAAACACTTTCCGCTACATTCCAGTCTTAATTTTACTTTGCAGTAAGATGTTGCAGAATGTGCAGTTATATTTAGGGCCCTATCAAATTCAGTCCATTTTGGTCAATTTCATGGTTAAAGAATTTTAAAAATAGTAAATTTCATGATTTCAGTTATTTAAATCTGAAGTTTAACAGTGTTGTATTTGTAGGGGTCCTGATCCAAAAAGGAGCTTGGGGGGTGGGGGGGGAGGTGTTGCAAGGTTATTATAGGGGGTGGTTGCAGCCTTCAGATTTGGGCTCTTGGTCAACAGCTGCCATTCTCTGGCTGTCCAGCTCTGAAGGCAGCAGCGCATAAGTAAGGGTGGCAGAGTATGGTATTGCCACCCTTCCTTCTGTGCTATTGCTGGTGAGGCACCGCCTTCCGAGCTGGGCGCCCAGCCAACAGCTGCCACTGTCCAGCCACCCAGCTCTGAAGGCCACGCAGAAGTAAGGGTGACAATACTATGATCCCCCTAAACCTTGCAACCCTCCTGAAAATCTTTTGGCTCAGGACTCCCAAATTTAGAAACACTGGTCTCCTCATGAAATCTGTATAGTATAGGGTAAAAGCACACGAAAGACCAGATTTCACGGTCCATAACGTGTTTTTCACAGTTGTGAATTTGGCAGGGCTCAAGTTATGTTGGTTAACAGCACTTCAATGATATTTTGGAAGCAACGGACATCACGGCATTGTTAGCTACACACCCATGACACATATAATTAATCAAGTAATCTGCCCATTAGGTCTTAGAGATGAGTAAATGGACATGGAAGAATGCAATCTATTGACTTTAGCAGGGATAATCCAAATCTACATACAGAAAATTCTACAAATTGAAGGTATTTTGACAGGTTGTTGTATATTGCTAAATACACATTTTTATTTTGGCCTCATTTCTGGGGGTTTCTTTTGCCAGTAATAAATACTATGGCACTGTCATAATGTCTTCACTAATTTGTATTCAATTAATTAATATAGCTAAAGTATACCTCACACTAAAACACACATTTAGGTTTTCTGACCTATTTTGCTTTCCATTTTAGCAAGAACCAAATTATTAGTTGCAAAACATCTTACATAGGAGTGATATTTTGGATGGGAGGTGATAATAGCAGCCCTAACCAGATTCAAGAATACATTATAGCTAAGCAGCAGTGTCCTCTGACAGATAGACAGAAGTTGCAATAACCAACTGATGAAAAGATCCAGAACAATCCAAGAAGGCCAGAAGTCCTGCTCTTACGCGGGGGGGGGGTGTTGTTAAAACCAGAGGCATGCCATACTACCAAATTAATGTGCTGGTAAAAAGCCTCATCAGGCAAAGGATCCACCTAGATCAGGTACTGTATTCTCAATTAAAATAAACAATAATAATATGGACTACCTCTTAAGGGAAAGACTGTCTTATGGACGGATGCCCTGGATTTGAGGGGAGTGTATATCTCAGAATCTGATCAAGCTAACTGGAACCATATTATGTGTGTTCAGCCATCCTGAAATAATGAAATAGAACACCAAGTAGTTAAGGGTTAATTTGGAGACAGGCTTTTAAAAGCACGGTCAAAACTAGCTATAGTTTCTGCTAGGAGGAGAGGACAAACAAGTAAACAATTGAGACTAAAAACCTTGGTGGTTGGAAAACCTCGAGTCTAGACGTCTCTGATATGAAGTTTATTGAAAGTTAGAAAAGTGATGCTATAGCAGGGGTCATTATGACCTATGTGTTTTATAAAAGATTAGCTAATAGATTGTACTTGGGAGCAGTCCTCTGAAGTCATCTTGAGATTTTTTCCTGACACCCTTTCTCCCTGGGGGTGAGCAACTGGCCACTGCAAACCTGCTGTTAATTACTCAATACCGTTCCAGATGTTAGGTAAACATCTGGGATGCTCTAAACCTATTGCCCATGTTTGTGTGTGCTTAAATCTAAAACTGCAGTTTTAGATAAGATTCATGCAACTAAGCAAGCTCTATCAGATTGAATTGCTGTGTTCCTGTTGATTTATTCCTGTTGCCCCTGCTGGGAGTTCTGAAAACCTCAGGTAAGGGAAAGACTGTCTTATGGACCACCTTTCCCAACCCCTCACCTCCCCTTATCTCTTTCATGATCATGAAACTACAATACCACCAGTTCCAGAGACTCCACAGTTTAAGAACTGTGAAGGACTGGGCTGCAGTCTCCCCCTGCAGCCCAGAAATTGCATAGCTGGAAATCCAGCCCTATAGAAAAGGAGTACTTGTGGCTACAGCTCACTTCATCGGATGCAAACTGTGGAAACTCCAGAAGACATAATCAAGGTATCATACACATTGTAAAGAGAGTGGTCACTTTGGATGGGCTATTACCAGCAGGAGAGTGAGTTTGTGGGGGGGAGCGGAGGGTGAGAAAACCTGGATTTGTGCTGGAAATGGCCCAACTTGATTATCATACACATTGTAAGGAGAGTGATCACTTTAGATAAGCTATTACCAGCAGGAGAGTGGGGTGGGAGGATGTATTGTTTCATGGTCTCTGTGTATATAATGTCTTCTGCAGTTTCCACAGTATGCATCCGATGAAGTGAGCTGTAGCTCACGAAAGCTTATGCTCAAATAAATTGGTTAGTCTCTAAGGTGCCACAAGTATTCCTTTTCTTTTTGCGAATACAAACTAACATAGCTGTTACTCTGAAACCAGCCCTATACAGTTCATGAAATTGCTGGAGTTGCAGTTTCCAGCTCCCTCACAATCTGATTACTCAGATCTTCGCTCTCAGAGCTTCTTCCTCCCATTCACCTCCGTCAGTCCAGAGCCACCACATCCATGCGACTTTCAGATTGTTGCCGGCCATTCCCTCTCCCACTCCTTTTGTCTCTTCCCCATCCAGACCCCATGCACACTCTGCCCCTCAGATTCCCTACTTCTCTTTGGTCCTAGTTTCCTTCATCTCCTCAGTTTCACTATCCTGACACGCTCCTTAGGCCTCTCATCCTCAACAATCTTTTCCTTTCCACTGCAAAATCCTGTCACTCTCCTCTACAAGCTCCAGATACCACTTCCTTCCTCCTCCTCCTCCTCCTCCTCATCTTCATTTCCCTCTCTGCCTTGTCCCGAGTCAACTCTCACTCCTAACACCAGCCCAGTGGTGGCCTCTCCCTAGTCCTGTTCCCGCCATACTACCTAGGGCCAGGCTCCTTCATTCTCTCTTAATCAGGGTGGCTAAAAACCAATAATTTAAAAAAAAAATTAAAAAAAAATTCAGTTTTATTTAAATTAGATTTTTTTTTTATAAAATGCTTTTTGAGGGAAAAAACCTATCTAAAGATAGTTTTAATTAAGACACATTATAGCTCAAAGATATCTTATCATGGAATAGGGATTATAAATTCTAATTCTATAGTATGAGAATATATTCATGTAACGTTTAAGAAAAGTTTTGTAAATGAGTTCTAATAATTCATGGATTAGGGACCCAATCTTATAGGGTTCCAGGGGCTTCTGTACAGATTTAGGTTAATCTTTCTATCTACCCAATGGGGCTCAGTCTAGACGATACCATCAGAGATGCTTAGTTTTGCAATTCTCAAACTGGATTTGTCTCTCCAGAGATAACATGCTTGTTAACAGCAAAAAAAAAAAAAAATTATAAATAAATAAATAAATAGAGGTGAGAAATAACAGACCTCAACCTATTGTCCCTCTGCAAATTTGTGTACATAAAGTCAATCCCTTACCTCTCTCTAAAAGTGCAAAGTTTCAAAAAGTTCAATGTTGGGGGCGGAATAGATCTAGACCAGGATAAGTAGTCTGGAGAAAAATGTGAGAAGGGG